GCAGTCAGCGACACAGGGCGGCCCGGGGCCGGGACGGGCGGCGCGCGGGCGTCGAGAGGCCGGGACGGGCGGCCAGCGAGCGGCTAGGGGCCGGGACGGCGGCGCGCTGGCGTCGAGGGGCCGGGACGGGCGGCCAGCGGGCGGCTAGGGGCCGGGACGGGTGGCCAGCAGGCGGCTAGGGGCCGGGACGGGCGGCGCACGGGCGTCGAGGGGCCGGGACGGGCGGTCAGCGGGCGGCTAGGGGCCGGGACGGGCGGCGTGCGGGCGATCAGGGGCCGGGACGGGCGGCGCGCGGGCGTCGAGGGGCCGGGACGGGCGGCCAGTGGGCGGCTAGGGGCCGGGACGGCGGCGCGCGGGCGATCAGGGGCCGGGACAGGCGGCGCGCGGGCGTCGAAGGGCCGGGACGGGCGGCCAGCGGGCGGCTAGGGGCCGGGACGGCGGCGCGCGGGCGTCGAGTGGCCGGGACGGGCGGCCAGCGGGCGGCTAGGGGCCGGGACGGGCGGCGCGTGGGCGGCTAGGGGCCTGAACGGGCGCGCGCGGGCGGCTAAGGGCCTGAACGGGCGGCGCGTGGGCGGCTAGGGGCCGGGACGGGCGGCGCGTGGGCGGCTAGGGGCCGGGACGGGCGGCGCGTGGGCGGCTAGGGGCCTGAACGGGCGCGCGCGGGTGGCTAGGGGCCGCAGGGCAGGCCGAAAAAAAAAAAGGTGAAAGCGAGGGCCCGGAGCGCGCTCCGGGCAGAAAAAAAAAGTTTAAAGGTGGTGGGCCCTAAGCACAGTTCCCACGGGGGAACCTGCTCGATACCATGTTGAGAATAGAACGAGAATGAATGAACTTTGAATGAAGTGAGTACAAATAGGAAACCCTAACTGAGTTGTACCCCCTATGGGATACCCCACTACAGCCTACACAATAGTATAAGCTATATGTATGTTCTGACACGTTATAATATTTTCTCACAATTATATTTTTCCGTTATCCTATTCTCCCTTTTCTCCTCTTTATTTTGGTCTTTATCTCATCTCAATCGGCCTACTATTCTATTTTCTAGAGCCTTCTATTTATTTCTCTTATTTCCTACTTTTCCCACTGACATACCTATTATACGGCACCGACAGCGCCGACAGTAGTGTATACGGTGTAATCTGGGCGTAATCCCAAGTGCCAATAGCCTTGCGTGCTTGTGCGCACTTGTGATTATAGTATCGAGAAGGGCGTGTTCCCGAAGGTTCGTTTTATCTCGATTATCCTTGCATTTTCCGAGTATAAAAATGCCTTGTATTCAGTTTGAGGGACAAGTTTTGATTGAGAATTCGATCCTGTGACACTTGGTAATCAGAGCGGTTCTCACTCGACGACTCTCGGCTAAGCAGCGGTCGCGGAAAAAATCGCCTCCAAAAACCGCCGGGGGCGACCAATTTGACGCCGATTTCTGGTAAGCACCAGTTCCGTGCTTTTCGAATTAATCCCCTTGCGTGGTTTCTGAACAGGATGGTTTCACCGGCGACCAACGACGTTACGCAGCAGCTCTTCGCGCAAATCGCCAAGATGGAAGCGGAGATGCGAGCGATGACTGAACGGTCGCGATTGGAGAACGAGCAATTGCGAAACGAACTGCAGCGCGTTACGCAGCTCCTCTCGACCATGAACATTCCTGCTTCGACGACTTCGCAGCAGTCGCAACGTCAGTTGAGGTTCCGAAACTTCGCTCGCCGGAATGGTTCGACCCTAGCGATCGAAAATCCGACGTCACGCGGTGGCTCGCGAGGATGGAAATTTATTTCGCGGCGATGGGATGGTCGACGAGGGAGTACGACGGCGAGAAAATTCGTCTTGCGACAACGTTGATGCGCGGTCCAGCTCTCGAGTGGCTCGGAAGCAACAGTAACATTTTCCAGGGCGAAGCCACGTGGCAGCAGTTCCGGGCAGACCTTCTCAAACGTTTTGAGCTGATTAATTCCACTTATATTGCGCGCGAAAAATTACATCACCATAGGCAATTCGGGAGTGTCGCGCAATACACACAGCAGATGGAGGAATTTTATAATTGCATTCCCGACATTACCGAGGGCGAAAAAATTCAGTCCTACATCGCGGGGCTGAAAACCGACATTCGGCGCCAGGTTGCAGCAGCGAATTGCAGCAGCTACAGTGAAATCGTATCGGCCGCGGAGCGTTTTGACTTGGTCGACTCCGGAACACGATGGCCCCACGTTGTTGGATCACGACAAGGGGATCGCTCGGCTTCAACCACGTTCGCCGACCCCATGGAAGTCGACAAATTCGACGCAAATTCACGACCTTGAAAAAGCAAAACGTTTTGCGAATTTTGCGGTGGAAACGGACATCGGATTGTCGACTGTTTTCACATGAAATCTGCACGTGCGGCATTCCAAGCTTGTGGGAGTGGCGAAACTAAAGACAAAAGGCAAAAAAACGGATCTCGCCAATGATTGCGGATCGTGTTGGCAAGGAAAAGCAGATCCGAAGGCGTCAGCGCAATCTGGACCGAATCGAAATTGAAGGACAGCATTGGGCGCGAGATTTGGAGAATCAAGGGCGAAATCCCAAGCCCCTTGACCGAAATTTGTCAGAGGGATTCGCCGAGGAAAAGAAAACCTCCGCGAAAACAAACTCGACTAAGACAGGAACTCTCCAATTCGACCCCGGAAAAAAACAGAATTCGTTAAAGTTATCTTTCATAGATGCTTTAATGAACAATGGCGATTTTCGCGGGTCCGGAGCCATAAACAAATTCCGGGAAGAAATACAGAGGAAGCAGACAATTAATGAAGTGGTACCGGTGCCTACGGAGCTGGGGAAAAAAATAAGGAGTGTGGAAAGGAGTAGACCTTTTCACGGCGTCAACGTCCTCTCTCGGAACCAGCCCAAGACGACTCTCCACTCCCCAGGGAAGAAGTCCATGGAGCTGAAGCAGCTGAAGAGGTAGCTGGGAGTTCAAAAGAAGCTGCGGAAACCCCGAAAACCCCTCCAGGATGCATCCACTGGATCGCAGGCGTCGACCGGATCCACCCCCTCAGGGTCAACCTGTACGGTTACTACCTGTACTCCTGGCGTTGGAGAGGAGCCTTTCTCGACGCAGCCTAGGCCAGCTAGTTGTCCAGGAGAAAACAGTGGAACCACGGTGTGTACTGAATATTGGGATGTACCCTATGATCCTATTAATGAGACTATTTTGGGGTACTCCGAGCAACGCTCACCACTCCTGCTCGAGGTGATCTGCAACGGACAGCGCCTCCAAGCACTCGTGGACAGCGGGGCGTCGCACAGCGTCTATGACAAAAAGGCAATCGATCGACTCGGAAGTGACATCAAGTCCTCAAGCTTCTCTGCAACGATGGTGGATGGCAGTAAGCTACCTATCTACGGGGAAACACGGTTGCTACTCCAGATTGGACCCCTTCGATGGAAGCCTGCTCTCCCCGTCACAAATATCAAAGGACTCGACGTAATCTTCGGGAGAGACTTTCTTAAAAAGTTCAACCCCGAGATCAACTGGGTTAACCGGACGGCCAACATCAACAACAACGAGAGGAAAATCAGCCTTCCCAAATGGGATGACACGGGAAATATTCCAGTCGAGACACTCGCACGCTTTGAAAAAGACGTCAAACGGACCACGGCGGGATTCATGGCGATAGTCAACGAAGCAGACAACGGAGAGAAGCAGACCCAGGAACTTCCTCCAGCAGTCAAGAAAATTCTTGAAGAGTTCCAGGACGTTCTCCCCGACGATTTACATGATCAACTACCGCCATACCTGACACATCAACACGAGATCGTAGAAGATCCGGGGTCCAAGCCAACGTTCCGAGCACCATACCGGCTGAGCCCGACTAAGCATGGGCATTTGACCCGACCCGGTCCGACCCGTCCCGTTGAGGGCGACCCGTTAGCTTAACGGGTCGAGTCGGGTCGGGTTAGCGGGTCGGGTTTGACTCTGTTTTGGTGACCCGACCCGCCCCGTGGGAACAGGTATTTGTGACCCGTTACCGGGCCGGTTACACCACGGGTTGGGTCGGGTCGGATCAAAATATGTTACATAGCAGCAGGGTATGGGGGTTAGGTCTGAATTGCTACATTGTAAACTACATGTTACAACTATATTCTTAAGTTTATACGTACCTTACGTTAGCCCAAGGTGCATGAATTCCAGGGCATCCAAACATGAAATGCAGTAGTTTTTTCGCTTCAAACAAATGTCTATGGCGTATGTCAATAGAACAACAACCCTGTTTATGAAGTGAATGTCAATCAAGCATGGAAATAAATAAAATCTACCTTATCTCCAAAAGGGTTATGGCAAATGGCCTAAGGCCTATAGCGACCACTCCCGCAGCAAACATTACTCAAAACACATCGTCCTTGGCCTCATAGCACAACTCCACAAGCGAACGCGCAGCCCCTACCACGTTCAATGACCTGCCGCTCGTGTTCTGCGCCATCCATGACTTGATAGCCATGAGGGCCCTAACACGAGGGGCGCTCAAGCGGTGACGCTGCCATGTCACTACGTTCCTGCCCCGGCTAAAAGCACGCTCGCTCGCTGCAGATGTGGCTGGCACTGCCAGATAGTCCCGAGCCATTTCCCTCAAACCCTCTAAATCCTTCCTATCACGCCAGTACGCTAGCGGGCAACCCTTCTGTCTACCCTCAGCCAAGTATATGTCCACCTCGTCACTTCTCCGCCCCCCCCTTGCTGCCTCAAATGCATCCATCTGTGCAAAAAGCGCATTTTGGAAGCTAACCCCCCCGCTGCCAGCGGCACGCGACGTCCCTGCGGCCTGAACACTAACACCAGTGTCGTCAGTGACCTCCCCCATGCCACTCGTAGCCTCACCACCACCTCCCCGACTGCGCACTCTCTCCTGATATGCGACCAAACGATCGCACACCAGGCGCATCACCGTCGGCTCATCCACGCCCTGCACACTCCTAGCACATCCCCCCACTTCTGTCACTTGCGCTGCATTGAGCGCCTCCCACTAGGGCATCTGGAAGAAGATGATCTTGTAACGGGGGTCAAGGAAGGTGGCAATCGCCAACTCTTCCTTGGTGCCGTACGGGTACTTCTTCAGCTTGCCGAGGGCTTTGGTGATGAGGGCCTGTGTCAGGGGTGAGACGGCTGGCTCGCGGTAGGTGATTTCCATGTTGTCCAGCAGTTGGTTGTACAGCGGCACCACCGCTGCAGCTGTCGGGTACAAGGAAGCCTCAGCTACCTTGGTGATCGAGTGGAAGGGCTGAAGAAAGTTCTTCAGCTCGACAAGCGCGTCCCAGTGGACGTCACTGAGACGTATTTTGTCGAGCTGCTCGCGTAGCCTAAGGGGGGGGGGGGGGGGGGGGGGGGGGGGGGGGGGGGGGCTGGTATAGGACAACAACAAGGGTGGTACAGAGGGTTCACAAACTTAGTATACAATGGTGATGAAGTTACTCGTTACTAGATGGGTCCCAACATTGAGCTGATACACCATCCATATAGCCTCTTCAGACATACCGACAAACTATGCTAGACAACTCAACCCCCTTTCAAATCTTGCCCATACTCACGACCCTTGGGCGCCACACCATTCTCCCACACTCACTATTCGATACAGTCACAACTCCTCTAGCCCCCGACCAGCTACCCAAACTCACCATTCAATATAGTCACAACCCTTGGTGCGCCACACCAGCCCCGTATACTCACCGTCACCCAACATATACACACTACCGGAGCCTATCACTCACGTCAGTCCGGCTAGAAAACACCGTCAGTGCCTGCTGCAGCTCCAAGGCACGGCAGATCATCTTGTAAGTGGAGCCCCAACGTGTAGGCGAGTCGGAGATCAGACGTAGCACCTTCGCGTTGTCTCTGCCTGCCAACCTGCGCTGCAGACTGGCAAAAGCCTCTGACCGCTGGACCGACCATCCAATGTACGAACACGCATCCCGTAGGCGTTTCAACGCCTCCTTCACATCGTCCAACTTCAATGCCTCCTGCACTGCAATGTTCATGATATGTGCAAGACAGCTGTGTACGGAAAGGGCATAAGGGAAGGAAACAGATTTAGCTAAGGTTGATGTCACCTTGTGATAAAGTTACTACTACAGTATGCTGCCAAAGTGCCACATTTGAATCGATGCATGACAGGACGTACCGAACGTGACGCGCAATGTCGAGCAGTGGATTAGCTGTCCAGGCCCCTGGCCCCTCTGCTGGGTCCCCCGACAGAAGGCGCATCGCCTTGTTGTTGTTCTCCGCATTGTCCGTCGTCACAGCAAACACTACATCCTGCAGGCCACCCTCGGTCAAGATGCGCTCGAGGGTCTGTGCTATGAGAGACCCTGTGTGCGAACCCTCCAACTGCACGAAATCCAAAATCCCCGAACGTAGCCTGAAGTCACTAGTGATCCAGTGGACGGTCACACACATGAAAGCTGTATGGTTCTCACTGGTCCAGATGTCCAAGCTAAGGGACACCCTCCCCGCGAGACCGTCGCCAAAGATCTCCTGCCTCAGCTCCTCTCGAGCCACCTCACTGAATGCTTGCATGTCCCGTGCCAAACGGTAACGTGACCCCAGCAAATCCTTGGCCGATGGATTGAGCAAGGCGACAAAGCGACGGAACTGGTGAGGTCTGGCAGGGACAAAGAAGCAAACACACACAAAGCATTGTCCCAGCTGTGTACCAGGGCATCCCAACCCAACCCAACTGAGATGTTCAGACAGGATTTGAGAATCCCGGTGCAGGAATAGAGGGTAGAGTAGTTGTTGTTTGACTCACCAAAGCTCGGTCGATAAGACGAAACGGAAGATCCGCATCAACAAACAACTCCACGAGAGCACTGCGTAGCTCGTCCTGCGACACCCTTGGAGTCATGAACGCGCGCATGTCAACACCACTATGACTCCCACTCCCTCCCCCCCCTGCGCCACTGCCCCCTGCGGCTGCAGCAGCTGGGATGTTCGGCCAGGCAGCCGCGTGCTCCCATGCACCACCGTGCGGGTTGGGCACTGTTGGCCCATCGCCCGACACGCCATAGCCGCCCCAAGGAAACTCTAGGTCCTTTGGCTTTGCCGGGTCCAGGAACCGCCGTACCCAAATTTGCACAATAGGGTAGTGCGCGCGCTTGACATGCTTCCACCCAGTCCCCGTGCTACCCCCATCCCATCCCATTACGTCCCCACACACCCGACACGGACGACAACCATCCTCAAGCTCACCAAACATTCCCACAAGTAAACCAGAGTAGTGCTTCCCTGCCAAACCCTCAACCACCGAATCCTTAGGCAAATCCTCCTTTCATTGACGCTTTGACGCACGCCCACAACTCCCCGCTGTCCCACCACCCCGACTGATGCCACCAGCATGCAACGGCGTAGACCCAACACCATCGGACCGTTGAGTGGGTGCATTCCCTGGCCCTGGATCGGGCGCAGCCTCGGCCACTCTCCCACCACCACTGCCACCGCGCCCAGCCCTTGCAGCACTATGCGCAACCCTCCCAACCCTCCCCCCACCTCGTCCATCTACTGGGGGGCCGCTAGCATACCCCCCACTGCGCCCCCCTGCATTGCCTATGGCCTGCGCACGCGCAGAAGACCGACCCTGCCCGCGACCAACCCGTCCCCCCCCACGACCCCCTCGACCCCTTCCTCCCCGTCCATTATCCCCTCCATGTTCCCTGGCATTGCGGCCAGCACCCTCCTCCTCCTGCTCTTGCACCTCCTCCTCCACATCCGCGTCCCCTCCTGCCCCCGCTGCAGAGTCCTCTGCCGCCGCCGCCTCGACCTCCGCTACAGTAGGCCTATACTCATTATCATCGCCTGTTTCATCACGGGTCTGCCCACCACCCTGCCACTCTCGATGAGGACTGCTAGGCCAGTAGGAATCCTGTTCCTCACCCCCTGCATCTCCGCCATCAGTCTCAACAGGGTGCTGTAGAGCACTACCCAGCATAAAGTTGGTTCGTGCTGCAGGTGTTGGAAGTCGATTAAAACTAGCACCTGGCAGAGCTCGTCCTTCTTCATTCCCATCTCCGCCCCCCTGGTTAGTCTCCCCGTTCATATTGCGTTCATTGTAGCACCTTCGCGCTGCTGAAAGTGGCGCCTTGGCGCTGCTAAAGGTGGCGCCTCCGCGCTGCTGAAGGTGGCGCCTTCGCGCTGATGAAGGTGGCGCCTTCGCAGTGATGAAGGTGGCGCCTTCGCGCTGATCAAGGTGGCGCCTTTGCGCTGATCAAGGTGGCGCCTTCGCGCTGCTGAAGGTGGCCGCGATCGCGCTGCCCTATCGCGCTGCCTGATCGCGATGCTGAACCTGGCCGCGATCGCCCTGTCCTAATGTGGTGCCGCGATCGCGCATATGCGGGGCGACGATCGCGCCAATGTGGGGCCCTGATCGCGCTGAGCAAACGCGGGGCCGAGAGAAGGGTATTGCGGGGACGCGATCCCGCCAATGCGTGGCCGCACGCGCGCTGCTGCGCCCCTGGTCGTGCGACGTTGCGAAATGGCGGGAGTGCCAAACCCTAACTTGAAGATAATATGCAGTTTAAATAGTGCTAACATTGAAGAGTGAAGACTGTATGAGGCTCCCTAGCTGCAGCGCAGAAGTACTAGCCTTGATCTAGTCTAGCGACTAGATCAGAATGTCGAGGGAAAAAAAACCTAAAAAACCAACCGATGTTCAACCCCTACCCTAATCCGAAAACGGGTCGGGTAACCCTGTCATTTCACTGGGTAAGCGACCCGGACGGGACGGGTCAACCTGACCCGTCGGGTCGCAAATACCCGTCACTAAATCACAGTGACGGGTCACGGGTTGACCCGACCCGGGCGGGTCGGCCTTCTCAGCATTCCTGACCCGACCCGCGTCCGGGTCAAATGCCCATCCCTAAGCCCAACAGAGCTTGCCGATATGAAAAAACAAATAGAGTATCTCCTGGAGAAAGGGCTGATTCGACCTTCGACTTCGCCGTATGGAGCTCCAGTTCTCTTCACTCCGAAGCCAGATGGAAGTCTGCGAATGTGCATCGACTACCGAGCCTTGAACAAGCAGACTGTAAAAAATAAATACCCGATACCACGGATTGACGACTTGCTCGATCAACTTCGCGGTGCTACGGTATTCTCCAAGCTCGACCTCAGATCGGGATACTGGCAAATTCGTATGGCAAACAACTCTATCCACAAAATCGCCTTTCGAACTCGGTATGGGTCATACGAGTATCTCGTGATGCCATTCGGACTCACTAACGCACCAGTCACATTTCAGGCGGAAATGAACCACATCCTTCGGCCCCTTCTGGACGAGTGCGTGGTGGTATATTTGGACGATATCCTGATCTACTCGAAAGACATGAAAAAGCACGTTGAGCATCTGCGACGGGTGTTTGAAATTCTTCGACGAGAACGCTTCTACGTGAAACTATCCAAGAGTGAGTTTGCGTTGAAAAAAGTCCAGCTCTTGGACATATGGTGAGCGCTCAAGGAGTTCACGTGGATCCCAAGAAGATCAAAGCAGTGCGAACGTGGAAGACCCCTGAGAACGTGAAGGAGTTACAACAGTTCCTTGGATTCGCCAACTACTACAACCGGTTCGTACCGAACTACGTCGAGATTGCCGCACCATTAACGAACCTGTTGAAGAAGAATACACCATAACAATGGGAGGCGAAGCACCAGGAAGCCGTGGAACAACTTAAAACCGCACTCACGTCCGCACCTGTCCTTATCCTACCAGACCCTGAATTTGACTATGTCATCGAGGCCGATGCTAGCGATCAAGCAGTGGGCGCAGTACTCATGCAGGATCAAGGGAAGGGACTGCAACCCATTGCATACCTCAATAAAAAACTTCACGGGGCAGACCTCAATCACCCCATCCATGACAAAGAGGCCCTCGCCATCGTCAACGCATTTAAGGCATGGAGGTGTTATCTCGAAGGAAGAAAAACGACCGTCTACACCGGCCACTGCAGCCTCAAGTACCTAAAGACCCAACCAACACTCTCCAGGCGGCAGGTCCGGTGGATTGACTTTCTCGAAACCCACTTCTATTACGACATCGTGTATAAGCCGGGGCACAAGAACAAGGCAGACGCACTGAGTCGCCCTGCACACGTTGCCGCCCTACAAGTCGATGGCATGAACCCACTTTCGAAGGGACTCTTCACGCATGGATACACCATCGACCCCGAAGTCTCTATAGCAGAAAAGCGCCATCTTCTACATTGGGATCAAGACATCGCATACCGCAAGGGATCCACAAAAAGATGGGTACCTAATTACCCTCCTTTACGCCAGTTGCTGCTCGAAGAATATCATGATGTTCTCTACGCGGGCCACTTCGGTAGTAACAAGACGCTTGCCGGTATTGCGAAGCATTATTATTGGCCCCACATGGCGGATGACGTACAAAAATTCGTCACCTCGTGCGACACATGCCAACGGATGAAGAGCAGCAAACAGATGAAAGCAGGGTTACTACAGCCTCTTCCAGTCCCTGAACAGCCTTGGCAAGTGGTTAGCCTCGACTTCATCACCGGGTTACCACCTACCAAAGCTGGTTACGACGCCATTCTAGTCGTCATCGACAAATTCTCCAAAATGGGACACTTCATTCCGACACACACAACGGCTCGCATCGAGGAGACAGCGCAACTATTCTTCCGCTACGTCATCTCGCAACATGGCATTCCAACTACGCTGATCTCCGACAGAGACCCGAAATTCACGAGTAAATTCTGGAAGGAGCTAATGTCGCTCATGGGGACCAAACTCGCCATGTCATCAGCCTATCATCCCCAAACGGATGGTCAGACAGAGCGCCTTAACCAGATTGTCGAACAGCTTCTGCGAGCAGCGTGTAAGGACGATATCTCTAAATGAGATGCACATCTGCCGGTTCTCGAGTTTGTGTATAACAATGCCACGCACGCCGCAACAGGGCAAACTTTTTTCTTTCTCTGTTACGGTCGCAACCCAGTCGCGCCTCAGAAACCAACAATACCCGCCACGAGGCAACCCGTACATGACTTCATTACCACTATGCACCAATTGTGGGAGCGCACGCATAAAGGTTTTCTGACTATCCAGCAACAACAAAAGAAGCTCGGTGATCGGAGTCGCAACGATCATTCCATCAAGATTGGCAATCAAGTGCTTCTGGATACACGCAATCTCGACATTAGCCATCTTCCGTCTAAGCTCCGACCTCGCTTCTGCGAACCTTTTCTCGTCGAGGCGCAGGTCACTCCAGTAACCTTCCGCTTGCGTTTACCAGCTACCTGAAGAATTCACAATGCCTTCCATGTTCAACTTCTCAAGCCCTATCGGGACCCAAACACGGTCTTCAAAGGTCGCCAGCCGCCGCCGCCACTGCCAGTGATCGTTAATGGGGAACCCGAGTACGAAGTCGAAGCCGTTCTGGCACACCGACGACGACGTAGCGGCACCTTGGAGCTCTTGATTCGTTGGAAAGGTTGTGATCCTTCCGAGGATACCTGGGTACCTGAACACGACATGGATAACGCCCGTCGTCCTCTCCAGGACTACCTTGTCAAGCAGGGTGTTACTTCTACCACCCAGCTTTGAGGGGAGGAAGTGTGAGAGGACGTCCCCGTTATAATATTTTCTCACAATTATATTTTTCCGTTATCCTCTTCTCCCTTTTCTCCTCTTTATTCTGGTCTTTATCTCATCTCAATCGGCCTACTATTCTATTTTCTAGAGCCTTCTATTTATTTCTCTTATTTCCTACTTTTCCCACCGACATACCTATTATACGGCACCGACAGCGCCGACAATAGTATATACGGTGTAATCTGGGCGTAATCCCAAGTGCCAATAGCCTTGCGTGCTTGTGCGCACTTGTGATTATAGTATCGGGAAGGGCGTGTTCCCGAAGGTTCGTTTTATCTCGATTATCCTTGAATTTTCCGAGTATAAAAATGCCTTGTATTCAGTTTGAGGGACAAGTTTCGATTGAGAATTCGATCCTGTGACAGCCGCGCATCAGCTCAACCTCTGGCCCCGTGTCTTCGTTCCGGAGACCTCGCCGATACTGCGTTGTACGGGAGAGGTTGGCGATGCGTCTGTGTTCCTGGTCTAGGGATTTCGTGCCTTTATCCGTGATTCGTCCGCGGACAAGCTCTCCTCCCGCACCCTTCCTTGTGTCTTCCTGGGCTTTGTCCCTGACGCGCCTGGCTGGCAGTTTTACCACCCCACCTTGCGCCGTGTCTTCCGCTCTAAAGACGTCACGTTTGACGAGTCGGTCCCCTTCTACCGTCTCTTCCCCTACCACACTGCCCCGCTTCCCCCTCCGCTGCTCTTCCACACACTAGGTGCTGCCTTGGTATACCCCCAGCCTCCCCTGGGTCCTGGTCCCTCAGGTGTTTCCCAGGTAGACCCTGTCGAGCCTGTCGAGGTAGCTGTCAACTCTGGTCCTGCGCAAGGTACTGAGCGTGCTGAGCCTGAGCGTGCTGTGTCTGGGGCTCTTGAGACTAGGGGTGCTGAGCCTGGGGGTGCGGAGACTGCGGGTGCTGAGCCTGGGGGTGCAGACACTTCGGGTGCTGAGCCTGGGGGTGCTGTCCCTGAGGGTGCTGAGTCTGGAGGTCCTAAGCCTGGGGGTGCTGCGCCTGGGGGCGCTCTCTCTTCCCAGCAGCTGCGTAAGTGGTACTCTCGGTACTGTCGCCGCCTTTGTGGTGCTGCTGGAGCTGGAGCTGAGGGCGCTGAGCCTACTGGATTTGGTGTTGCTGCTGACCCTGGGGTCGACGCTGGAGGTGCTGGAGCGACTGGTCCTCAAGGTGTTCGTACTGGCAGTACTGGAGCTGCTGGGACTGGGGGTGTTGCTGGAGCTGGTCCTGCTGGAGGTGCTGCCGGTCCTGCTAGAGGTACTTGAGCTGCTGGTGCTGGTCCTGCTGGAAGTGCAGGAGGTGATGCTGATGCTGCTAGAGGTTCTGGTGC